CAGGCTTCCAATACTAGTGTGTACTCTCACAAACACGAACAATGAGCACAAAGAAACAGCACCTGTCAAAACTTGCATCAACGTTCACGCTCGAAAAGTACAAACAGGAGACCCTAGGCCAAACAAAAGTGACAGAAGCAGTCACCGGGGGGGGGGGGCTCCAATGAGCAATTTCCCGAAATTTAGAGCCCGCATCAGTGGATTTTATTGATTCACGGGATGCTGGGACACAGAGTGGCTTGGCTTATATACCGTAGAGACCGTGGCGTGCCCGACACCCCTGGTCAGCATCCTTTGTTGCCTCGAGACTTCACTTGCATCCATCTCCGCGGCTTGGAAGCAGCAGAATTCACTGTGGAACATGCTTGCCCTCACCTTTTTCAAACTCTACAGTGATCGGAGTCCTCGAGCGGCCATTGTGGAGGGCATGATAATGTGACGGTGCCAGGTTAGCCGTGGTACGGACCATGTCGTCCTCAGCGCAGATACTCAGCTGAACGCGGCCGGGGTCGGTGAAAGCGCTGGCTAGACCAGCAAAGTTCGCCATCACATACCAACAGCGGTGGTTGGGACACCTCAAGTTGCGCATGATCGAGGTCACAGTTGAATTGTCGCTATCGCAGATCGTGACGTTGGACACGCCCATAGCTGCACGTGATAACTGAAAGTTGAATGTGAACAGATGAATATCGCCGCTAGTGCCGTCAAGGATCTTCAACGCCCCGAAGGGGGTAAACCCGTCCAGCTTCGTCATGGACGGCGCGGCCAGACGCCAAAACAGAGCCGCCAAAACAGGAGCTATAGGAGTGCTTGCGGATGCGGGTTTGCTCTTTGTTTTTTTGGTATTCCTGGCTTGATTCTTTTCTTTTGTAATTGGATTTTCCTATTTGTTTGATTTGATTTTTCCAATTAACTTGACTGTATTTTTCACCATTGCTTTCTTTGCTTGCCCTCTTTGGCTGTTTGAGCTCTTCATCCTGTGCACCATCCAGTTCCCGACAACCAGTTTGTGCGGAACGGATCCCTGTAGGCTGTAGTACAGAGAGATCGGAGTGTGACGGTAGAAACGGTCTATAGTACACGTACACATGTAGATGTACGATACACCCTGCTACGAGACAAAAGAGAGACAAACCACTGTCATGTCATGTCCCGTCCCACTCCCTGGCTGTAGTCGTACAAACCCCGGGGGGGGGGGGGGGGTATTTTCGATGAAATTTCGCAGCTCATTCATGATTGATAGGCTGTGTTTACATGAGAAATTTCAACCCGGGTCGAGTTCAGCCCGGGTTGAAAGTCTGTACGATAGACAAAAGAGGTGAGCGTTTACATGAAGACAGTTGACCCCGGTCAAATACTGATATACCGCCAAAAGTCCACTTCTACAGTCCTGGGAAAGGGAGCAAACCCTTTCTTGGAACTGTGATTGTTCTGACAAAGTGTTATTCAACGAAATGACCGTTCGCAGTATGACAGGTGTAAGTCCAACACATTACAGGGGGAGTGTCACAGAAGTCAGAAGCTACACCTACAAAGTCGCTGCTAACTTGTTGAAAACATGAAGTGGTCAAGATTTGGATTTGGATTTGGAGAATAAGAGTGCGACGTCGAGTATGTTGAGGAAGACTGTGTGCAACAGTGTATACTGTATATCTGAAAGTAGAGGTGGAGTGTGATGGAGAGTACGTGGAGTGCCAACTTTTTCGGTCATCTACAGATGTTGACCGTGTTTTCGCTGGCGGTTCTCCAGTGGTGCTCCAAAAAAAATGTCAAGGTTCGCGTGAGACTCGGCCAAAGGCCCAGTTTTCCGCATCCGCAGGAACGCCACCACCCTCTTGGATCAATGCGCAGATGCAGCTCCTAAGCGGTGGGAGGTGAGTAGATCAGACCCACCACATAGTGGTCAAAGACCGAAATCCCATTCACTGCATCCATGTTTCCCAACAAACAGGAGGAATTTCCCAACAAACAGGAGGTATTTCGGACAGCCAGCTAAGCTGCCTATAGGAATTTTGGAAGTGGCGAGTACCCGTCAGCTCAGGCTATAAGACCCTGGACAGAGGAACTGACCAGGAAAGGATGAACCAAGGGACATATCAACTGTATGCAAAAATGACAATCCCATTGCTGTACATAGAATTTCACCATTTCAACAGTGCTTCATATAATACCATTGTAGCAACACTTAGACATGTCCGACCAATCCAAAACTTTCAGACAGTGAACATTAGGTGTGTTCGATCATTTTTGAACAAAAAACTGAAAATCGAATTTTTGGTCTGTGGTCATATTTTAGCGTGCCCTGGCTCACATATGGAGTCAGGAAAACACAACTTGCATATACGAAAGTTGTGTAGATTTCATACCATGGTTGCTTCTTTGGCTGCGACAGCCCCTGGTACATAAAGGGTTAAACACAGTGCTCTACTTTTTTTCTTTTTTTTTTACTAGAGCCACGTAAACCCGTCATGTGTGAGCCATGAATAAGGGGAGTGGTGGCGTGGTCTGGATGCTCTGCCGACCTTGGGTCTCGGCTTCATCACAGCCAGACGCGCCAATAGAAGAGAGAGAGAGGAAGGGAGAGAGAGAGAGAGAGAGAGAGAGAGAGAGAGAGAGAGAGAGAGAGAGAGAGAGAGAGAGAGAGAGAAAGAGAGAGAGAGAGAGAGAGTAAGAGAGAGAGAGAGAGAAAGAGAGAGAGAGAGAGAGAGAGAGAGAGAGAGAGAGAGAGAGAGAAAGAGAAAGAGAGAGACTTACTGGAAGCAGTTTGGGCATTCGCTGTATGAAGCACTAGCAACGTCAGGAGTTTCACAGCAGAGTGGTGCCAGCGTGAAGTAAAAGCGCATACCTGTACAGTACATATACATCACTGTTCAAATTGTCGTAACTCCATTGTCCTTTTTCCGATCGTCAGATTGTTATTTTAAATAGAGAAAATCACATGAAAACGAGTTATAAAGCAACTATCCACGGCTGTAACAAGATAATAAGTAGTCAGAAAGTGCGATAACAGGCCACAAAACTGATATGCTGCTGAAACATTCCACGACCTGAGTTATCGCACTTCGCGGATAGTTGCTTCATAGCTCGATTCCATGTGATTTCTTCTATTTTACTTCTATTTACTGGCTCAGTATCCGATTGTTATTTGAATCAATTTGTTGGGAGCATGAGTGACAGTCACTGCACAGTTTTCAGGTTACTCAGTAACAGTTTCAGGCTCAGTTGTTGTTAACTGAGCTCCATTGCGATTGTAGGCGATTCAGACTACAGCCAACTGTGACCACGTTTCTACGACTCAGATGTGTTTGATCAGGGATTGTGCATAATAATTTGAAACACGACAGCATCACCATGGAAACTCAAGTTCAGACGTGATTTTGGCCGTAGTCTGAATCGCCTATAAGCTACGAGTAGGTCAGTCACTGCGAGCTCCGCTGACAAGACCTAAGAAGTTCGAAACACCTAGCTGTCGGAAGATTGAATACTGATACTAGGGAGGTTTAATCTCACATAATCCGTGTGTACTTTACGTGTGTGTACCACGTGATACTCAGTGACCCACGTACAGACGTTTTCTGATTCACGACATACCGTGTATGGAGGCTCACCCACGTTCCGCCAGAACGTGGGTGAAAATCAGAATGGAACGCATTTTGCGAGCTAGCTGTGAGGGTGCTCAGCTGAACAAATTTCCAAAGCACGAAATCAAAAATATTCGATGAGCTTCTTAGGCCCGGGTAGCTTCGTCTTTGACCAGGTTTGGGCATTTCGCTTCATGCTTTTGTTTGTCCCGTGTGACTAAACACAACATTGCAACGTGGGTGCCCTTCATCCACTGTACGTGTATCACCCACTTGCGCGTTTCCGTTACGTGCAAACTAAACCTCCCTACTACTAGATGTTTTGTATCAAGGACCTAAATGAAAATAATAATAATAACGTGTGTGTGTGTGTGTGTTTGTGTGTGTGTGTGTGTGTGTGTGTGTGTGTGTGTGTGTGCGCAGAACCCTAGTTTGGGGATTTCAAGGGTGTCGGCCCTTTGGTGGTTCAATGGCCAATTGAGTCATCTTTCCAAGATTCCTTTTGAGTCTCTCTCCCCTCTCCTGGGGAGACCCACGTGACCAGTTTTGGCAGTGAGCAAGTACAAGAAGAAGTACAAGTGTGTGTGTGTGTGTGTGTGTGCGTGTGTGCGTGTGTGTGTGTGTGTGTGTGTGTGTGTGTGTGTGCAGATCCATAGCTGCTGGAGATGGCTCTCTCGAACCTTTACATGGTCCCGCTCGTCGTTCTATATTGTCGGCCCCGTAAGGGGACACGTGACCGTAATGGCAGTGTTTACCAGGACCAGGTGTGTGCAACGACAGTGCATTTACTGTATCCATACTTTCTGGCCTATTTGAAAACGGACTCACCGCCGCCATCCTCCGACGTCAGGATCGAAAATCCCCTGCCCAAGCGCGGAACCCGTCCTCCTGACGTTAAACACAACACTACAGTGCTACTCAGCCCTCGAACAGTCGCCAAAACCAACAAACAAATGAATTTTGCAACAATTACCGGTATTTGTTTCATCTGTACGTCTGGGATCAGGCACAACTGACTTGAACTGTGTTGAACCTGGAACCAGACGGCATGAGCCAGGGAGTAGATCTACGTACTAATAAATGTGCTTTTTAGTACTCCTGTTTGAACCTGATGCGAACTTTGAACCCACAGTACACTTAGGTAGTTAGGAGATCAACAGTTCAAAGATTTGCGCGGCCGCTTATCAGTTGAGTCGGGAGAAGTCTACCAGTGGTCTACAGAGTGGAGAGAACGAAACCGTACCGTGGCCTGGTGACCCTGATCAGCGAAAACACAGCCGAGGGAACGTGCTTGGCAAAATCACCGGGGAAAGAAGACCCTATGGCTATGCTGTACACTCATGTAGATCGGCCTACGAGAGAGAGACAAAATTGTTGGAACATTCACAATATTTGTTGAATTGGGTGGCAGGCCGAGGGCCTAGTAGTGTTGCCTTCCACGTCAGGAGGAATCGTTCCGTGCCCGGTCTGGCGGCTCTCGTTCCTGACCTCCGAGGATGGCGGAGGTTAGTCTTCTTTCAAATATTATTTCTTTAATTTAATAATCGGCTGGAGACAACAATCTCAATAAACCTATGAACAGAATCAATTACGCACTCATGACAATCACAAGAAAACGTTTTTGGAAATACTAAACCGACATCGCTGACATGTATGTACATACCATATTTTCCGGGGTAAAGGCCGCACTTTTTTTTGGTAAAAATCGGACCAAAATCGTCCGGACCCTAGAAATTGATCCTTTGGCATACAAATCTGTTACAGTGTAGTAATGGGTGCGCAGTTGATAATGTTCATAGCCTTGTTCAGATTGCTCTCTGCATGCAGATTATCTGTTTACGTTAAGCGGATATATACCTCATTTCAGATAGAAAATTCAGAACGATGCGCTTCGGAAACATCATGTTTGTCAATGTATTACTCAGGCCTCATTTACACGACAACGATTGAAAAACGTTTTTCAATCGTTTTCGAAGCGCTTTTGCTGTTTACACGAAAACGATAAGCGTGTACTCTGCAACGCTTTTTTCGCCGCGCAATGGTCACGTGCAATAAGTTGGCCTGGCACAGCTGGCGGCGGCATGTTTTGAGTACAAGGCTCGTACATGATTTTACTGTAGTAAAACCTCTTTGCCGTTTACACGAGACCGAAATGGAACGAAAACGATTGAAAAACACACTGAAGGCCGTTTTTCGTTTGAAACGTTTTTGAAACGTTTTTCAGCGTTGTCGTGTACTAGTAAACGATCTTATCTAAATCTGTGGAAGCGTATTCTACAAGTTACTCTATACTGTCCAGGTTCTAAGTTAACGTCCAACATCCTTCACAGCTGAGACTTTCAGCTCGTGCTTGTCTTGGTTGTGCTCACGTTCCCCTTCTTATGGTATTTCTTTTTGAGGCAAAATATTGACTAAAAGTTGGTATTCGGAGTATAAGCCGCACCCACAAACCAAAATTTTTCACACTCATTGACAAAATGGCCTTTCTACAAATTTATTATGGTCATGGAGCTAAATACCATGTTAGATCAGATTATGAAGTGCTGCTTTGCTGCTTCGAATTGTAGTTAGACCGCTTTGTCAAATATCGTACTGGTCTCGTCATCGTCCAGTAACAATCGACATTCTTTGTTCCGTTGGGACTGTAGCTTTTGCTCGTTTTCGTTGCGCTTGCCTTCCCCTCTTTGGTCTTTCCATAACCTTGAACCTTCCAAGTTGGAAGGCTGTCGGTTAGCGCTACGGAGATGTGTTGAAGCTAGGTGTCAGGACGTCGAATGTTTCAGTACTCTGTCAGTTTTGTGCCTAGTTATTGCACTTTCTGACTGTATAAAGTATCATGTTACAGTGATGGAGAGTTACTCTTAACTCGTATCCATATGTCCTTTTCTCTTCTACATTTATTTATGGCTCAACATCCGAGTTTCATATTGCACACCTGATGAGCCGTCACGAACCATACGGCGAAACGTACGTCGTGTGAAACAACTTGTTTTGTAGTCAACTAGTCCATCACAATGTCATGCATGAGGAGTACTGTAGGAGTTTGGCTTTCGGCTTGTACAATTCGTTTTCGCAAAGCTTCCCTTTCTTTACTTATCTTTGATATTTATGACCCACCCAAGTTGGGTGGTGTGCTGCTTTGCTGCTTCGAATTGTAGTTAGACCGCTTTGTCAAATATCATACTGGTCTCGTCATCGTCCAGTAACAATCGACATTCTTTGTTCCGTTGGGACTGTAGCTTTTGCTCGTTTTCGTTGCGCTTGCCTTCCCCTCTTTGGTCTTTCCATAACCTTGAACCTTCCAAGTTGGAAGGCTGTCGGTTAGCGCTACGGAGATGTGTTGAAGCTAGGTGTCAGGACGTCGAATGTTTCAGTACTCTGTCAGTTTTGTGCCTAGTTATTGCACTTTCTGACTGTATAAAGTATCATGTTACAGTGATGGAGAGTTACTCTTAACTCGTATCCATATGTCCTTTTCTCTTCTACATTTATTTATGGCTCAACATCCGAGTTTCATATTGCACACCTGATGAGCCGTCACGAACCATACGGCGAAACGTACGTCGTGTGAAACAACTTGTTTTGTAGTCAACTAGTCCATCACAATGTCATGCATGAGGAGTACTGTAGGAGTTTGGCTTTCGGCTTGTACAATTCGTTTTCGCAAAGCTTCCCTTTCTTTACTTATCTTTGATATTTATGACCCACCCAAGTTGGGTGGTGTGCTGCTTTGCTGCTTCGAATTGTAGTTAGACCGCTTTGTCAAATATCGTACTGGTCTCGTCATCGTCCAGTAACAATCGACATTCTTTGTTCCGTTGGGACTGTAGCTTTTGCTCGTTTTCGTTGCGCTTGCCTTCCCCTCTTTGGTCTTTCCATAACCTTGAACCTTCCAAGTTGGAAGGCTGTCGGTTAGCGCTACGGAGATGTGTTGAAGCTAGGTGTCAGGACGTCGAATGTTTCAGTACTCTGTCAGTTTTGTGCCTAGTTATTGCACTTTCTGACTGTATAAAGTATCATGTTACAGTGATGGAGAGTTACTCTTAACTCGTATCCATATGTCCTTTTCTCTTCTACATTTATTTATGGCTCAACATCCGAGTAACAAAAAAGTAGAAATTTATAAGAATTTATAACATGTAGAAAGGAAAAGGACATATGGATACGAGTTAAGAGTAACGCTTGCCTTCCCCTCTTTGGTCTTTCCATAACCTTGAACCTTCCAAGTTGGTAGGCTGTCAGTTAGCGCTACGGAGATGTGTTGAAGCTAGGTGTCAGGACGTCAAATGTCTCAGTACTCTTTTCAGTTTTGTGCCTAGTTGTTGCACTTTCTGACTGTATATACCAGTCACAGTGATGGAGAGTTACTCTTAACTCGTATCCATATTATGTCCTTTTCCTTTCTACATTTATTTATGGCTCAACATCCGAGTTTCAAATTTATAATATCCCTATGCTTTTTTTGTCTTGGTCATCAAGGCAAAAAAGCATAGCTCTCTCGTTTAGACACGAAAACTAGTCATTTCTCTTCAACCCCCCCCCCCCCCTCCTTGAAAAACGAACACATACATACGGCACATAGTATAGATTATTCTTTTCTAGCTGGATGTGCCCACACATACAAACTGTGCATCGGTATTTTTTCGAGAAACAAACAGGCGCTCACCCCCGCCTTAAACAACTACTTTTTGTTTCTAAATAAAATTACGAATGGCTCCTAATGCTATTCTGTTGTCCACTGTATCACCATATCAGACAACAATGAATGTACAGCAAAAACACATGGTTGTCATGCGAACGCTAACTGTAGCAACATCCCTGGTTCATATACATGCGCATGTTCAACTGGTTACCAAGGAAATGCAACACATTGCTCAGGTAAGTTGTAATTTTATGACACCGCACACTTGACTGTTTCGTCGATTTTGTGTACAGTACAGTAAAAATAGAGGTTGCGAGTTTGCGGCAGTCAAGTGTCAAGTCGTCGGCAGTATAGCGCGAGCTCCAGTGTGGGAGCAAACCCATTCCTACTACAGTAAAACCTGGTGAAAGCAACCTCTGGGTTTAGCGACCACCTGCTTTTAATGACCTTTTTTCATGCACGGACAGTTCTACACAGCAACAGCACTGGATACAGCAACCACCTACCTTGCACCGCCATCAAACGACTTTTACTACAGTCCATTTCAAAACTATAGACGCGTACCTAGGCAAAAACCGTTATGCCAGCATCTATACCACATAAAATCTGTGATCACTTTGTGCATAATTTTTTCCAAATTGGGCGTCTGTTATCCAATCCTTTAGAAACTATATGAGAGTAATTGTGGAGCGATCCTGAGCAATATTCCGAAAACTATTCTCAAAACGTTCCAGCCAAATTTGAAATATTTCAAAAACTCTACGCGTCTATAGTTTTGAAATGCACTGTAGTCTTTTAGTGTACCAAGTGCCATATAGGACCTACGCACAGCAGCCCAAACCAGCCAAAAGTGTCGCCTTCACTGTCAGGGTTGACACAAACAGGGTTGAAGTGCGCTGGGTCCAAAAATGTAATCGAAAGTGCCCAATGACTAGCATGTTATGCTGTTCTGTTGTCCACTGTATCACCATATCAGACACCGATGAATGTACGGCAAAAACAAATAGTTGTCATGCCAACGCCAACTGTAGCAACATCCCTGGTTCATATACATGTGCATGTTTAACTGGTTACCAAGGAAATGGAACACATTGTTCAGGTAAGTCGTAGTTTTATGACTCGACACACTTGAATGTTTGCACATTAGTTGAAGTTTGTTTCGCGTGTCCTTCAACTTTCGCGTTCAAAGCCACGGGCGTTCACATGAAGTTCCCCTTCCCGTGATGTCAAACGAAAATTCGCTCGAATTTTCGCTCTGCAAAACATCTCTGACGATTGAGAGGTTCCGCACGACATAATTACGATTACGTTAGTAACAAATGCAGTCGATCTATGGAAAGTGTAAGCTACACTCCATGCCGGTCTGTGTTCCGCCATATGTAGTTTTCGAATGATATAGCTGCCCTTGGCAACTCGGAACGCGGCAGTGTACGACCGGGTCGACCTAGGGAGTGAGTCAAAATTTTGCACCCCAATACACTTACGGAGCACCTCCGTTATCAGAGCCCTACGTATGTACTATACATAGACAACTTTCCATAGGTTAAGTGCAAACTCGCGAGTTCACGGGTTTTTCCGCCTACTAACGTAAGGTTGCTCAACTTCACGTAGTGCGGAACGTCTCTAATGACTTGCACATTAAGGATCATCCGTAAAATACTGATATTCCCCTTAAACAACTAGTTTTGGTTTCTAAATAAATATCTACATTTACGAATGGCTCCTAATGCTATTCTGTTGTCCACTGAATCACCATATGAGACAACAATGAATGTACAGCAAAAACGCATGGTTGTCATGCCAACGCTAACTGTAGCAACATCCCTGGTTCATATACATGTGCATGTTCAACTGGTTACCAAG